TGGTAATCGTGAAAACGCCTTGGGCGATGAAGGGTCCGCCGGATATAGGAAATCACGGCGCGAAAGAGGATGCGTGTGCAAAATCAAGCATTCGTCACCGCCTATTCGTTGAATATTTCATTTATCAGTTCTGTGTGTAGGTACCCAAGCAATTCACACTCATTGACACGCGTGACGCATATACAGAGTGGTAAAGAGAAGGGTATAATACTTTAAGTCTTTATAGTACTCACCGAGTGGAGTAAAAAATGTCAAATTCACGCAGGTTCTAAAATAAATCCTCAGTACGAAATAGAGAATTACTCTTATAAAAGGTTCTATAAATTTATCTCCGCCATGTACGAAAGAACTATCAAATAAAATGGCAATAAAGAAATAAAATGGCGGTTTCAAAATATGTTAGGGTTATTATTGTTTCAGTTATAATCTAGAGCAGTGAAGATTAGAATTCAAAGGATCAAAACAAATCGTTATGTAAAGTCAATCATTTATTAGTCCGTAACCTAAGAATTTCTGCACTTTTCCCCCAGACGGAAAAATTCTTTTCGATTGTATTTTTTAAATTAAATATACTAGCAAAATTCGGTGAAACTATTATTTGTTTGTACGATGCCTGCTCTATTATTACATTCTTGACACAATTTCGGAACATCTAATTATTAGCAGTTAATAGAAAAATTCTAGAACTATCCACAAACTTTGTACCAGAGTTTACCCTACTCAATGCTAAAAGCTTCGTCAAAGAACACTTTTGCCTCAACCCCAATTCCTCTACGGCAGACTGATCGATGTCTGACAGTCAGAGAGGTCCCGTGTTATCCTTCACGGTGGTTGACTGCCGTAGTAGTCGAATTCGAGGCTTGAATGGAATCGAGACCGCACACGATTAAGTTCTCCCCTGCTCGTGTTATCCGATCGTCTAAGTGGTGGCTCGTTTCATCCGCGTGATTGCTTCTTCGTCTCTGTGTCTAGTGGGAAATGTTCTCCTTCTATCAGAGTAGACAACAAGGACCAAGGACAACTCCGGGGCTGATGGTTGTAGAACAATCGAGTGGTTCCAAATTGAAATTAGTCGGAAGAATTTTGTGTCGATCGAACGATTCCGCATCAATGAAAATAATTCCGTTGAAGCGTGCAGCCCGTTGGGAATTGTTGTATTCATGGAGATCCGAATCTCTGGTTCTCTATACAATATTGAGACCGAATCAGGTCTTGATTGACGGGATTATTTTATTTCTAGCATCTGGTTGCACTATTCTTCACGAGTAAATCTTTTTACTCTTGACTGTAATACAATTTGCTTCGGAAATGAAACGTAATTTCAGTGAAAAATTTAAGAAATCCAAGTTGACCATTTAAATGTTTATCCTATTCATATCGTGATAAAAAATGCTCTGCTGTCGTATTTAAACGATTGCTGACAGCAATTTCGTATTATTTCTGTCAAAACAACGGAATTATTCAAAGCATCAAAGTGAAGGGTATATCAAGCACACGTCCATAATCATCCCTATCGAGGAAATTAAAAATAAAAGTACTTGTGCAAGGGACGAGTCCTGCCCACCAATCAGAGTACAATCGATATCCAGGCGATCATCCCGGGGGATCATTCAAACATTTCGAAAATCTCGATCACCGCAGAGCCCACCTAACAATTAAACAACCGCGCGATTGTCCGGATTAAGAGTGTTTTCGACGTCATCATTCGATCGTTTCGACTGTCAACGCGGTTCGTCGACGGGATTTCGTAATAATTGATGAAGCAGCGCGTGGTGACGTCACAAATTCCGACGCGCTGGGGACGTGGCTACTCAGAAGGATTAGTCGATCACGAGTCAATCGGAATAATGCACCAAAGGCGCGGCGATGCTGTCGAGATGACATCGCGTCAACTAAGAGCAGATTTGAGGAGGCAACAGAGAAGCTAGTGTTAGAATTTACATCAACGTGTTCCACGGATGAGTGTTTTTATTTTCTTTGAATCAATTGAGATTACCTTCGAATGTTCTGATTATTAGTCGCAATATTGAAAAGACTCGTTAGGAAACAATATGGCGGATCGAATACGATAGCAAGATGGCTGCCGTAACTTCCTGCCGCTTCGAAAAATGAAGAGGGTTTTATTAATTCAGTTTTGATTTAAAGTATATGTTGTGTATCAGAAAAGTATCGTAAAATGTGAAATAGGTGATTTTCAGTCTTCCTTGATTAGGTATTGTCACGCTATACGCGGTGAGTTATATAACTGTACCACGTAAATACACTCATAAACTGCCATACACCTTACTACTTTCTTTACTCAGTATTCAATATTCTTTCGAATCGCAGAGTCAAACATTATATATTATGATACGAAAATTCAAGGTCACCTTCATATCTCGATAAAAAAGGGAAACATTAAAATGCTAATTAGTACATCGTATGTCCCGCGCGATATCAAACTGTCCTTTAAACATTGTTTTATACAACAACTACATAGGTTATTAGTAAATTTAGGTGGTACAGTTACGTAAAGAACCCTATATAACAATAATTATTTAAAACTAAGAATGTCCATATTGTAGTATCTTTTTAAATCCGAACATATCGATAGATATTATTTAACCTTACTATTCTGCATTATATTCCGGTCATTTCTCCACCATATATATATCTTTAGAAACAGAATTCAGTTTTGAATAAATGGCTTATTTGATACGTTCTTGGAAGTGGTAATATCCCGAAACGGTGTTCATCGCGTTTCGTCAGGCGCGTTTAGCCCGGGTACTGTATCCCTCTAACACAGTCCGGCCAACACGCAAAGCTCTCCTGCGGTTTTGTGCCCCGGCAGGTGTCGTATTTAGTTAGATCGACATATGTAACGAGGTACCAAATTAACATTCGCCATGTGGAAACCGGGAGTGAAGATTCCAGCATCAGGTATCAGTTTTGACCAGTGGTCGTTCCCTGGCCAATGCACTAAACCCGCGAATTTCAAATTTCGGAAGGGTCGCCCTTTGATCTTCTCGCGCACGAACATACGTGTGCACATGGATCCGGTCTGAATCGGTGGATCTGCGTACATAGAACGTTGCTGTGTTTGCCCGCAAAGGGAGATTCGATTGAAGACGAAACGGAAATGCAGATGGGACGCAATGCGTGCGCACTTGTGATTCAAGGTTCTACCATGACTGAAAATAACGCGTCCACTCTTATTGGACACGTATACTGTTTGATTCTGATCGGCAGACTGCGAATTTTACGCATTTATCGCGAATGTTTGTGTGTGCAAAACACGATACAGTAAACATTTTCGTGAATGTTTGCACGAATTTTATTATATTTCGAATCCCAAAAAACCTTTAATCCTCATGCACGGTTCAATAAATTGTTGGCATTGCTATTCGTTGAATAAAAGTTGATCTAAAGTAACATCGAATTGGGGAAATATATTTATAAATATGCAGTGTGTCAATGGAAATGTGGAATACTTTCATAGGGTGGATTCTACAGACGAAACTAAGACGAAAATCAGGAATGACGAAATTGCGTTTGAGGCTTTGTTTTCGAGTTATTAATTGTTAAAAATAATAGCGAAATTGGCGTACAATACGTCTGATACGGGAGGTTATTCTCCTTGAAAGGCACGATCTTCAATTGTGTCACGTGTTGGTGTAATTCATTTGATTGTATTTTATTCCAAATTTACCTAGGCCATTGATCGATACCGTGTATGAATTCTGAACAAATTTATAACTGCAACAACTTTCCAACATTTTCAACAATTAATAACTAGGAAACGAAGCCTCAAACGCAATTTCGTCATTCTTGATTACCTCAGTTTTGGATGTACAATTCACTCTGTGGAAGTGTCCCACATTTTTATTCATACCCAGTATATAAATCACAACGCTATAAAAATTAAAAACGCAGATTCACATGTCCTCCTTCAACAATGTGTTAAACACATATTATATTTTTAGTTTCTTGGAAAGAAATAATGAATGCATTGAAAAAAAAAAATACAAAAATGGTCGTTGGAACGAGAACTAATACTTGCATTCCCGGCTTTCATCAATTTAACCAACGAATATTCAAAGCGAAATAGGTGCTCCAACGGTACACGCGCTGAAAGCCGCGTTAACGGAAGTTCATAAAGACTAATATCGCGCGCGCAACTTCTGCCCTAATAAACGCTAACGCATTTACAAAGGCGGTGGTAAACTGCAACACAAACAACAGGCCGTATTGAACCAGGCATTTGAAGGAAGGGTGGCGAAAGCTTCTGTAATCCGAAACCCGAAACTATCAATATTGGACGAGCATTAAAGTATCCAAAGTCAAAGATATTGACTCGCTTTTAGGTGGGGGAGGACTCGTTTGAGAAGTTCGTTAAAATAGTCAAACATTCCCGTCGTAACCAAGGACTTGTTGGGAAAACCTGTTCGCGACGAAAAGGATGAAATTTTCAAACCGACGCACAGTACAGAAAATTTGAAAATGAAAATATTCATACGAGAGTATTATACCTTGTTGAAATGTTAGAAGAGGTTTACTCTTCAAAAAACCACATGTGAATAAACAAATTGGTTTATGACGATCATGTTTAAGTGTGCTTTAAACATTTCAATTTAACTTCTAAACATTATCAATTACAACCGAACCTCCAGAAATGTTGGCAAAAAATATCCTCTATTTTAAGTTCTTGATATTTCTTTTTGAATCAGAAAGCAATGAACAATTTTACTTCAACTAATCATTTTATCATCTGTCGGAAAATCCAGTTATTTTTTACATTCCCGATTTGATTTACGATAGGATATTATCCAGTATACTATTTTAACATTAAAAGATAACAAGTATCATTTTACACTACTACCTCCCTCGCGGTTAAAAGTTTCTCCACTTTCTCTTTAAAACAAATAAAAGAACGAGACAGTCTCCAACAAAGTTGATATTATCTGAACAGAATTGCACCTATCTCGAGACCACACCGGAAGAAAACGGCAAAAAGTACTCACACATGTGGTAAAGGACCAAGTTCTTCGTCGTTCCATTATACTTCTGGAAAGCTCGGTTCGTCGGCGCGAACACGGTCACGTGACGATACGTTAGGGTGTTGTTGGCCACGTGGCTGGCCTCCAGCAGTTGATAGAACTGTAACAAAAAGAAACGGAAAAACCGGTTTGTGAGTACAGATAACATCGCAGCGTTTCGTTGTTGTCAGATATAAATTAAGAGGCCTCCATTTCACATGTATTTAAATAATAATTTTTAATAATACAATCTGATACAGATATCTTCAATACTAATACTATCTTTAACACGTTCCGTGCCACAGTGAAAAAGGCGGTACGTAGCCAGACAATCTTTACGTCGTTCTTCAAGTCATAAATTACCGAAAATGTGTGTCTTTTGTTAATAGAGGCTGTTGGTTTTGTTTTAAACTACAGTTCAACATTAAGACGTTCCGTGCCATATGTACCACCGATGGTACACGTTAAATTTCCCATTCAGTCTGCGTGTAGCACCGGTGGTACATGTGGCACGGAACGTGTTAAAGAGGTTTTTAACCAGATGTCTAAAGTGTTTCGTAACCATTACAATAAAACCACCCAAATATAAGAGATCTAACAAGAAGTGAAAACTACACTTGCCAATGAAATAAGACAGAAAATAAAAATTGTGATCCTCAATTCTACGCACCGAAACGTCAGGAACATTTCAGATTATCTAATATTTACATAAACATCCTGACTCTATTTACGACTCGACCCAATAATACCCCCAGTATAAACTCTCCCCCGGTGTCGTGTCGCTCGCGATTCGAAACGCGAAAAGAGAAACGAGCATCGATTTTCCTGTGGCGGGTGGGATCGAGCGTGTCTTCGCTACGGGGACTAATACGCGGATCAAGTAACTCGAGTCACGGCGGATTAAGTGCACGATTGTACGTGCCGAATTAGTGATTCACGTTCCACCAGGGCCAAAGGCGTTTAATCCAGCGCGTCGAATGAAATTTCCGTGGGTCTCACTCCCCCCCTCTCTCTCTCTCTCTTTCATCGTCCTAGTCCTTATTCCACGCGCCGAAAATTTCCACAAAGGAAGCTCGTTAGTTATCAATGCGTAATTAACTCCGGGTGCGCGTAGCCGATCCCCCACTGTTGGAATGTTACCCGGCCATTGAGTCACGTTTTCTTCCTCGCACGAAACAAATGAAAAAGAAGGGAAAAACGAAAGGCAGGGGGAGGGGAGATGAACCAAGCGCAACGAATACGTTTTTGCGCGAAGAAACGAATTACGGAGGACCTTTCATTAGGCTCCTGGAAACGTTCATCCGACTTCTTGCGCAGGATATAAAGTGAGAATCTTATGGGTTCTGAGAAATTTCAACACGGGGACGCGTTGTCTGGGGAGGGTGGAAATAACGGGCGGTTGAAAATACTTGCGGCAGTTTCATACGGGGCTGGGCTCGCTTACGTTTGATACAGTGAGGGTACTTGGGCCTTGGGCTTAATAACATGATGCGAGCGAACACGTCGTCGCCTCTTATGAAATTTTTGCTAGTGTTCCGTGGATTTTTTTCGTTTCTCTAGTATGATGGTGTACCTATTCGGATGAGTGTAATCGTTACATTGAACAGAATTACTCGGTAAATTGCGTTATTTAGTTGGTTATTGTTATTTTATGTGTACCTTGTACTTAATAATTTCACTCAACCTTCATCCGGATAGAAGAGTCTCTGAGGTGCTTTTATTATTGTGTAATGAACAATATATAAATTCCTATTAGTATGTAGACCTTCACGTTTTCAGGTGAGAAATTTAAATATTTCTTTTAAAAATAAATAAAAGAAGAATTTTCGATATTTTCGACTTCAAAATACCAAGATACAACATATATGTATATTAGTCTGATAATTTTGAAATAACGATTAATGCATTTAAAAATATGTGGTTCCGTTTAAAAAAATAAAGATAACCTTCATATGTCCTTTGCGCCTCCATCTACAAAAAAACTATTCACATCAAAGTATGTCCCACTCGATACAATTCAATTTTTGTTTGAAACATTTTCCGGTATCACAAATAATTTCACAGATAATCCAGGGGATTGATTTAAATGGGACACCTTGTAGATGTAGAAAAGAAGAGTTTAACGAGTTATCATAGGAATATAATGTACGCCATTCTAAATAAGGATTGCTTCCCGTCATGGGGGTTCAAGGGGTTGCACGACGTTAAAGGATTTTCACCAGCAATGCGTATCTCAAGGATCTCATTCAACCTGTTTCTTTTCCGGCAGTCGTATTCGACGTTTCTCTCTATTAACCGTGACCACTCTTCTCTCTCTCTCTCCCCGACGAGAGGCAAGAGATGCCTCGGCTTTCACCGGGTTTTATATCAAATTGTTGCCGGCGAAATAGCCTTTGATTTGGCACAACTAAGTTTGCTTTGAGCTTGCACTTTCCATCGCAGTTTCAAAACAGATTCCCCGACTCTTTATCCAGAGTTATTCTATGCTCTCTCCTTTAACCTGTTTATCGACATCCTTTCCAACGGATCGAGAACGGGTTCAAGCAGATTTTCATCGTTAGAATGGTATTCGAAACATATACTTCCCGTTGCATTGAGAAGTTTCGACTTTCAGATGCAATTCACCGAATGCACAACTGTGCAAGTAAACTTTGACGATTCCGAGGAATATATACCGTTGATTTCTATGAAAAAAATTTATTTTAATTGATGTGACATGAAATTATCAAATGGATGTTAGCGGCTTTAGTTCGATTAGAACAAATAATTTAATAATTTTTTGAAGTTATAATCAGTCTTGTATTATTTTCTTTATAGGAAGTATTAAAATACATAATACAACTTTTCATAATTATACATCTCATTACTTCAATTATTATATAACAAAGTCACAAGCAGCGGAAATTTTCTTTCATCTCATAGTAGGATCTACAGGTCAGGTAATTATTTTTCCCGTCCAACAAGTAACGTCCAATTGAATTTGTAGTTAAATCGATTGATGGGCAGCCAAGGCTGAACTCGCTATTAGCCAGTTTAATTAGCATGTCCCAAGGGTCCGGAAATAGGGCAGCCGTAACGACATTTACCAGCGTCATCGTACTGTTCGCCGTTCGAAAGTACACGGTTAGGTTGAGCAGACGACTTGATAAACTTTTCAGAAAAATACGAAGTATTTGAAGATTGGTACTTTACGACGAGATTAATTGAAGCTTGCTGGTCAGTCTCCGAAGTGGTAACAATATTGAATTTTTCACGATGTCAGAATTTTTTGTATTACAAGGAAATAAAAGAAATTGTAGATTGTTACTTGCGAATAATTAGCGGAAGTAATAATGTTTGAATTCTTTCAATGTTGTAGTTGATCTTATTTTAAATTTACAGAGTTTACTTTCTTGTTCTAACTGAGAATTATTTTCATTCCTTTTTACATTAAAGTAGAATATTAGAGTGTAGGTAGTACATAAATAAAATATAGAATCTAAATGCACTACGATAATAATTTTTATTTTCATTATGATTTCGATGTCAGTTCTAAAAAGGACCAGAGCTAATTTAAATTACAAAAGTTGTTGTATTGGAAATAACATTACTTCAAGAGCAAAATTACGATATCACCGAGTTGAGATAGTGCGATGAAAATCATAGTGGCGTAGACAAACTTTCGGGTAACACCGTAAACGGTTCGGTAGGTTCCGAAAGGAATCCTATTCCGTTCTGATACACGTTTCCCGAGAAAATGGAGCCGGTAGACGTGTAAATTCCTTCAAGAACGTAAGTAGATTTCGTCGCTCAAACTTTGTAATACCTTACGTCGGTGAACGAGACAACAGAGAGGAGAAAATCAGGGTACAAATGGAATCAAGGTGATTTCTCCTGTACAGATAAGACGAGATCGTTTCAAACGCTTTCGCCGAGCAATATGCGTCGAGTTTTATGGTGTCATTACGACGACGCTATTTCTGAGAGTAAGAATTCCTGTAAACTTTCAATTTTCCGACTTGGTGCCAAAAGAATTTTAAATAAAAAACCTAATTACGATATACATATAATGAAACCAAACCATCGAATTCAAAATTATGACTTACCTAAATAGTTACATGATATACTTGGCAATAAATATTGTTTATCCGACATATTTATTATGATTAATTTTAGTTTATCTAAGAAACAATTAAGAAATAATTGCAGTCTGCTATTTTCTTGAAAATGATTTTCGTATCGAACATGCGTTATCCATATATGTGAATGAAACGGCAGTCGAAGTATTAAACATTTTATACAAGAAACGAACGCGATCGGACAGTTTATCGATAAATAAGTAGAAATGCTTTCCGCATGAGTCCAACGAAACAATTAATTATTAATATTCACGGCATCGTATACTCGAGTTCGCGCATGTTAATTAATCCACGACGAGATAATTGGCAATGTGAATTCAAACCAAGGTCTATTAGTTGCGCAACCCGTTCGACGAAACTGCCAGGAAATTTCAGATTAATTAGTGGAAGCTGAACCGGGATACGATCGATCTACGTAGCCGTATATTCTATAATGATCGGTTCGCCGTCGTGTTGCGCAATAATACTGAGTTACCCCTTACGGGACATAGAAAACGTAGCAGAGGCAGCACCAAGAATACTTATAATCTTCTTAAATTCTTAAATCGCATTCGATGAAACATATGCATTTATATAAGAATATAGAATAAACCGCGTAGTATAGCTTTTGCATTCATTGTGAGTGGTTGTGTTCGTATCAATCGCGATTTTTATTTGATTTAGTAATATAAAAATTAGAAACTCTTCTAGTTTTCTAAGGTGACTGTTTTAGGTAACGAAAAGTACACTGTCAAATCTTGATATATCTGAAAGTGACTACGATATGAGAAATGATAATGTTAACTGTTTCGTAGTGACTATAAAAGTATTTACTTATTACTTTTATTTTTTTTTCAAACACTTCTGATGGTAAAAACTACTTTTTATACAATATATACCTAACTAAAATAAATTATTATCGTCTTTATTATTTTTCCAAACAATAAAAATAGACATCTTATTCCGCATGTTAGCATAATATATTCAAGAAAATTCTTCACCACTCAAACAGTTAAAAAACCCC